TTTCAGACCGGTACATGACCAAGCTACAATATTTATATTTCTCAGAAACCTGATTCTTAACACTTGTTTGACTTTATGGTAACACCTTAGAATACTGTTTCTTACTTACTGCATAACTAATAAGGAATTAGGTGATTCTTTATTAACACTTAAGTCACTACTGTTAACTACTAAGGAAGATGTGTTAACTAATCAGTATGTAATATAATTTTATGATTGTGTTAATATCTGTCTGTTTGATTACAGGTGCTGTGAGAAAAAACTCGGTGACGCGGTCAGCCACAGATGCGGAGATGCACAGGTCACCAAGCATGCTATCAGGTGGTTCAACCTGGCTACAGATCGGGCAACAAGGAGACGTGTCCCGCCTCCATCCACACAAACTGAGTAATAGGAGTAATAGGAGAAATGATTAAACATTAAACCATCTTTTTTTTGAACTTCTTGTTGTTCACCAGTTATTCATTTTCTGATATTTTAGCTGTACATAGTGCAGCATTTCATTGAAGTTGTAGCCTAATAGATAAAATATGTTATGTTTACACCGACCTAGGCCTATAAAGCACTAAATTAGGTTTTGACCACAAAATGAATGTAGATTAGCCTGGCCCACATAGGCTACTTAACAAACCAGAATAGGCTATAACCTATAACTTTCCATAAATGTAAATGTCAGTTTTATATTTCCATTGAGTAGTGATTACTTTTGTACAGTAAATTGATGTCTTGTATCGAAACTTTTATGTTAGGCCTATTTACAATATTGTTAGGTTAAAAATACAAGGCGATGCAGATTTAAGCTTAGGTCTATATTGCTGTAGTTACTAGCCTAGGCTAGCCCTATAGTTTTTGGTTTTATCCTATAGTTTAGTTTATCCTACAGCAAGAACAGAAGGGATTTTAAAAATGAGATAAACGGGTCCAAAACGGACCCGGGCCAGATGAGCCAGAATTTTATGAGTCCGTTGCAGGTCCGCGGCGGATGTATGTATTAATTTGCGGGTCCCAAACGGACCCGCCGCAGAGGTAAGGTTTTAATGGCGGATGCGGAGCGGATGCAGCGCGGAGCCACGGCGGGTCCGCGATCCGCCTTCGTTGCGGATCCGTCACTGCGAGCAAGTGGACGCCGATACGGGTCCGTTTCGCGGGTCCGTTCCGGAAGCCGCGATACCTCCGCGGTAGATCCGCCGCGGAGTCCTTTTGCTGTGTGGGTATATAAACACTCACACACACTGAATACACACTATTATTACCAATACAAGCCTTTAACTATAGCCTAGTCGATAGGCAGTGGCCCGTATTTTCACCAAATTCTCGAAAACAGTTGTTCTGTCTTTAGCTAAACATGGGTAACTATTTATCCCGTGTTTTCTCTCTTCTCTTTGAGAAAAAGCAGATTAGATTGCTTATGGGTGAGTACATATTTTTATCCACACTTTGAGTTTAAAGTCTTACAGTTTAGCCCTTGTTGTTGTTATGTTCTTGAATAATTTTTAGCCCACATGGAAAAAATTAGCATATTAATAATATGAAATAGGTCTGATTATTTTACTTATGAATCCATTGTGAAATAAATGTATATTTCTTCTCCAAGTTGGTCTGGATGCAGCAGGGAAAACAACAGTCCTTTACAGACTCAAACTTGGTGAAGTTGTCTCAACCATTCCAACTATTGGTAAGAGAAATATTATGTATTTAAATAAATACATTTGTCATGTCTAACTGCCTTATGTGGACTGTCTGATTATCAATTTTTATTAAATATCCAACTCTTTCCTCTCTAGGTTTTAATGTTGAAACCGTAGATTATAATAACATCTCTTTCACTGTGTGGGATGTTGGTACTCAGACCAAAATCAGAGGTCTCTGGAGACATTATTTTCAATACACTGAGGTAAGAGTTTAACACAAACTTGTCATTATGCAGTATGATTTTGCAGTTATAGCTTTGAAAATGGAGTGGACATTCAGTGTGTGTGTGTGTGTGTGTGTGTGATTCAGGGTCTGATCTTTGTGGTGGACAGCAGTGATCCTGAGAGGATTGAAACGGCAGCAGAGGAACTAAAAATGATGGTACGTCATCTATATCATCAGATATATTACACTAGTTCGGTATAATCACAGTCTTGTAATATTGTGTACGAGCATCAAATCCATTTGAACCTTTTCAGCTGTTGGAGGATGAGATGAGAGACGCTGTTCTGTTAGTTCTTGCTAACAAGCAGGATTTACCCAAAGCCATGACCGTCTCTGAGCTGACAGACAGACTGGGTTTACACACACTGAGAGGAAGACAGGTGAGTGAGAGACACACACACACACACACACACACAATGCAGATGAGCAGAATAGAGCTGATGATGTGTGAGGTCACATGTGTTTCTCTCTCTCTCTCAGTGGTTCGTTCAGCCCACATGTGCGGTTCAAGGATCAGGTTTATATGAAGGACTGGATTGGCTCTCGGATCAACTGTCCAAACGATAAAACACTAAATCATAACTGAATGTGTATATTATGTTTCATATTTTTTAATTTTGAGAAATTCATGGAATGTCTTTATATATAATTCTAGTTCAGTAAATTCGGTATAGTTAATTTACCACATAAAATCAATTTTGGTTCTTCTAATGTTCATGGACTTGCCCACCTTCAATATGTGCCTTTCAAATACAGAATGTATATTACTGAATTTATAAATGATGCACTACTGCTGTACTATGTATGCACTATTATTTTGTTCTACAACTGTATTTAATGTACTGTTAATGTGTTATAAGTTATGTTTGACTTGTTTTAGTGTGTGTTCTGGATGAGCTGATGTCTGCCTGTAATATTGATCTGTGCCTTTAAAATATATAGAATAAATGCTGTATTTATTTACAAACATTAGTTTCACTCTCATTTAAAATATATATATATATATATATTACAGTTTTTCTCAGTCGCTTTGGTGCATTTCTCACATCACTATTTACATTTGCACAACAGTTAGTTCAACCTCCACAACATTTAGTCATTTGTGCACATCATAGTAGCAGTTTCTCATTCCTTCCAACAAATTGCAAATGCTTTTGGACATGCATCAATTGCTTTCATACAACTCTCTGCTGTTTTATAACATTATCATTTGCTTATGTCATGTCAGTCAAAATTAACTATACTTTTGAATGCTGAATAGTCATTCCATATAAAACGAATAGTCCTCATTTCATTGCTTGAGTCATCACATACAAAAATGTTGAACTAGTTGTCAAAATCTGTCAAGTAAATTAAAAAAAATGTTTTATCTTTTTTTTAAAATATATTTTTTTATCCTAAATTGAACAATTTCTCTCAGGTGAACCTCAGCTTTCACTGATGAGAAGGGGTGTGCATGAATGATTTACAGTACTATGTATGGTGTATGTTCAGTTCCAATATGTACTGCAATATTGTTTACAGTTGTGCACAGCTCTATCCAAAGGGAGTTTATGTTTGTTGTAAATAAGGGTGTATTTCTTTTGCACAATGCTGTGAACAAATTAGAATTGCAAAGAGCATATGCAGTAAAAATGTGAAACATACATATTTGGTGTCTTGTACTCAGTTACCTCACTAAATAATGTGTAACTTTACTGTAGTTTTCAAATGGCTGTGCAAATAGTATGTGCTGTCTTGAGCATTTTCAGGTAGTGTCACCAAGATCTGACTTTTTTTGCATTGGAAAACATTTACAGAGTAAACTGCTAATGAAAACATGACAAAGCCATTTGACTATCTTGTTCAGAAACAATGGTGTCAGGACTTTTCATCTTGATGACACTGACACTTTCATTGACATGCATACTTGCTTTTGAGGAATGAGCTATCCATTTTGAGCAAGTGACACGCTTTTGCAGGTTATCAACTAGGTTTTGCAGTTTGTACTAATTGTTTTGAGAACTGCATTAACTGTTGTGCAAATGTAAATAGTGATGTGAGAAATGCACCAAAGCGACAGAGAAAAACTGTAAACAGAATAGAAAAATGGATGATAAATAGTTTTTTGCTCAGTTATGATAGATAGATAGATAGATAGATAGATAGATAGATAGATAGATAGATAGATAGATAGATAGATAGATAGATAGATAGATAGATAGATAGATAGATAGATAGATAGATAGATAGATAGATAGATAGATAGATAGATAGATAGATAGATAGATAGATAGATAGATAGATAGATAGATAGATAGATAGATAGATAGATAGATAGATAGATAGATAGATAGATAGATAGATAGATAGATGGATGGATGGATGGATGGAATAGATAGAAAGATAATGATAGAACGGATGATATAGATAGATGGATGATTAGATAGATTGATAGATAAATAGATGATAGATAGATAGATGGATAGATAGATAGAAGGATAGATGGAAGGATAGATAGATGGATAGAAGGATAGACATAAGAATAGATAGATAAATGGATAGAAGGATAGACGGAAGGATAGATAGATAGAAGGATTGACGGAAGGATAGATAGATAAATAGATAGAAGGATAGACAGAAGGATAGATAGATAAATGGATAGAAGGATAGACGGAAGGATAGATAGATAGAAGGATTGACGGAAGGATAGATAGATAAATAGATAGAAGGATAGACGGAAGGATAGATAGAAGGATAGACTGAAGGATAGATAGATACGGTCATACAAATTTGTATAATTTAACATAGGTCATAATTTTTTTTCTCTTTATTAGTTTAACAAGGTTCAAAGAAGAAAAAATAAAACAAAAGTTAAAAAACAGAACAAAGTACAAAACAAATAGGTCACCATGTGTAATAATATTTTATATCCCATTGCATTCATGAATGTTCAGCAGGTTTCAGTCTGTTTGAACATTTTAAACTAAAAGATCACACATGTGGGTAAACACAAACGATCAATCACAAACTTGATTGACGTCTGAAGTCTTCGGACTCTTCATCGGTGTTTCGTGACGTGGCACCGGTGACGTCATTTCGACCGCGTTGGAGCTGCTGCGAAAATAAGTCTGACGTGTGAAGAAACATTCGCGTTCAAACTGCTGCACTAAACACACTTCCAGCTGGACAGAGAGAAGAAAAGAGCGAGGAAAGTGAAATAAAACGCAAAGAAGAAGAACGCGTTGTTCTGCCGGCTGATGTGGACTGGAGTTTGAGCAGGTTGTTGATATTTCAGTGCTGGAAGCTGCTGTGCTAAAGCGCTAGCGGATAGTTTCACTCCTCTAAGAACTGTTTGACTTTTACACTTTTGTTGTTGTTTTTGAACTGTTTTAACATGGGTTTGACCATTTCAAGCATCTTTTCTCGCTTGTTTGGGAAAAAGCAGATGAGAATTCTCATGGGTGAGTTGGAAACTGTTTTTGTGAGTTAGCTTAGATAACTGGCTATTTTGTGTACAGTAAAAGTATATTTTGCTGTTGATATTTTCCATTAAATTATGTTTTTCAAGCTGTTTCTATACAAGTCTAATATTTTTAATGAATTAAAATGATAGTAAAATAAGTCACGTATCGTTTTAGGGTGTTTACTTTGTTTCCAAGAGAATAGGAGGAAGTATTTTATCATGCAAAGTTTTCCAAAGTGTTTGACGTGATTTGTTTCCTGTTCTCCTTCAGTTGGTCTGGATGCAGCAGGGAAAACCACAATCCTGTACAAACTCAAACTGGGAGAAATAGTCACAACAATTCCAACTATAGGTAAGATAACAGATCAAATACATCAGTCCAGACAAATGAGACACCAAAAACTTATGAATTTATGTATGAAAGATTTGCGAAGAGATGCGGTGCTAATATCCTGTAGACCAGTGGTTCTCAACCTCTCCTGCAGGGACCCCCTGACACACCATGTTTCTGTTTTAACCCTGAAATGGCACACCTGATTCAATTAATTAAAGGCTTAATGAGTCATTATTAGAGTAGGAAGTAGGAATTAGTTAATTGATCAATTAGTCAACTACTCATTAAGCCTTCAATTAATTGAATCAGGTGTGCCATTTCAGGGTTAAAACAGAAACATGGTGTGTCAGGGGGTCCCTGCAGGAGAGGTTGAGAACCACTGCTGTAGACATTATAATAAGTATACCTTCAATTAAGAGATATTCTCACAAAAACATTAATTTTAAAGTAAAATATTTACCTTCAAAAGGATATTTTGCTTCAAGGAAATGAAGCATTGAAGATTTTTCCATTGTTACATTATTTTCATGACTCATACATTGACAGGTTTTGTGATATTTGCCATTGATTTATTACCCTGAAACTCTTATCTTGATGCGAACAACTGCAAAAATCTGCATCTCTTAAATGCTAACGCACCCAACCCTGTGTGATTCCTTTAGGTTTTAATGTCGAGACGGTCGAATACAAGAACATCTGCTTCACCGTGTGGGATGTGGGTGGTCAGGATAAGATCAGGCCTCTGTGGAGACACTACTTCCAGAATACCCAGGTAAACAGATGCATGGATGTCCTCACATCACAGCAGGACGTCCCGTCACACATTAAGATAGTCAAACAACAGTGGAGTTGCAGCATTCCAGCCAAAGAATTGCTCATTCTGCCATGGCCGTTCTGATTGAGTTTGATCGTCCAGCCTTGTGAGCTGCTAGAACAACAACTACCGATGTGTAGCTATAGTTTGGCTGGATGCCGTTGATGTTCTTTGTAGAGGATGTTGGTATTTCTATTAGGATTAAGTTGAACTGGCACGGCCTTTACAAGAGTTTGATTTGGAGAACAGAACAGTTTCTCTTCTGTTCATGTAATTCTCTTTTTCTTTGCTGGATGTTTGATATTATTCATATTATGGATCATCAATTCACTCATAATGGAAAATCGACAGGTTTTATTTGTTAACATTAGAAATAACAATGAAAAATACTCATAAAGCATTTCTTAATCTTTAATGTTAATTTCCACATTTACTCATACCAAAGTCCCTTAACCTGTTAAGCTTCAAGCCCACTTTTGAAAAATCCCCAGAAATGACATACCCAAACTAAAACAGATACAGTTCATGAACCCTTTGCACTAAAAGCACAAGTATGATCTCATTTGAAAGCTGACACCTGGTTGTTTATTGTAAATGTAGAATTAATTATTGTCATAATGAAAAAAACAATTTTAAATAGCTTCAAATTTTTGTAAAGTTATTAGAAATTTATTTTTATGAAACATCTTCATGAAAATAAAATTGAAGTTGGCCCTGGAGCAATCTAGAAATGCACTGCAGCTAAAGCCACATGTCTGACCATTTTATATTTAAAATCTGAAAATGATAAGTATAAAGCTCTGTATTTAGTTAAATGTTTTTCAAGATCATGTCAAATTACTTTATTTTGATTAGACTCTATTAGCAAACTGATGTTTAGTCATCTTCTGAGTCATCTATTCAGTCTAATGTCTCTATTGTTTTGTGGTGCCCCATTCAGTCTCAGTCTCCCCTGCACACATTTACACCTCTCCAGACTGGTTATTATGGCTCTAAATATGCATTTCTTTTGTCTGCATTATAGCTACTAACGACTGGCTATTCACAAGCTATTCATAGGGTTTCAAACCCTAATTTCTTTTATCGAAGTTCTCACTAAATATTTGAAACTGGTATCAAATGCACTGAAACATTTCAGTAAGCATTCCTATTTAGAAAAAAATCATAAAACAATAACTGCTCGTGGCAGGTGCGCCTGGGCTCGCTAGCATGTTAGCTTAGCACACCATCAATACACGACCATTTATGAGATTAAAACTATGTTTGCGCTCCAAACTCACTATATAACGCAAGTCTAGTGTTTTAAATAATCTTCTGTGATCTAACTTGGCTTCAGATAAAAAAAAAAAATCAGACAGAAAATGTATTATTTAGTGTTCTGAACGATGATGAAATCTATATCGATTAGCATTACATTATAAATATAATCTATTATTATGAAATACCTGGCATGGCTTGAAGAACACAGGTAACTCAAATATCATTGCAATCATGTTTATTGTCTTCAAAACATCTTTATCTGCATGTTACAGCGATCTCTGTACTTTCTGTATCACTCAGTGACGTCCTGGAATGTCACATGACTATGGGTCTTCTTCATGATCCATATTATGGACTTTTATTGGACATAATAGCGCCCCCATGCTATTGGTATGAATGGAAAACACAGCACATCTCAGTAAGAAGCGATCATTATGATTACATCGACGCATTTGGGTATAAATTCAATAAATATTATTCCTGTCTATAGAAATATGATGTGAATCTATGAGAATATATCAATATTTCTCCACATCTGCACATTGTTGAGCTAATAGCCCTCAGGGACGTTGTTTTGTGAATCGCTGTCATGACGACAGCACGGAGTGTTTTTTATGAATGGACCAGCTGACGCTCATAATTCATATTAAAGGTATCGACTCATTTTTTTCATTTCATAACTCCTGACACAAATTAAGACATAACTGTCACTATAAGTTTCTCAGAATACAATAGTTGTCAAATACTGAATCTTGAGTCTTATATCTTTTTAATGATGTATAGTTTGTCAAGGTACAACATTAAATCTGATAGTATATTTGAACTAAATAAAAAAAAAAACGCTTCAGTGCGCCGACGCTCTGGAGAAGGTTAAGAGGTTAAAGGCAAGTGATTTCACTCGATCATGAATTACTGCTAATGAATTACTCATGAATTAATGTTAATGCTAAAGATTAACTGTCACAAATAATTGCGATATACACTCACCTAAAGGATTATTAGGAACACCTGTTCAATTTCTCATTAATGCAATTATCTAATCAACCAATCACATGGCAGTTGCTTCAATGCATTTAGGGGTGTGGTCCTGGTCAAGACAATCTCCAGGGGCCTCATGTATCAACGTAAAATTGACGTAAGAATGTGCGTTCCTCGCAAATTGATACAACCCGTCTAGCAATGGCAGCGTTGGCTTAACTAGGAATAAAAAATAAACTTCATTAATTTGGTCAGTAAAGATAAAAAAGAAAGTAATATTTTTATTCAGCAAGGACACATTGAATTTGTTTAAAAGTGAGAGTAAATGCATTTATAATGTTACAAAAGATTATAAGATTTCTATATCTGTTTGATTTAAGTTTTTATTCATTAAAGAATCCTGAAAATACTATATCACGGTTTCCACAAAAATATGAAGCAGAAGCACACCTGTTTTCAACACTGATAATACTCAAAAATGTTTCTTGATCATCAGATCCTCATATTAGAGTGATTTCTGAAGGATCATGTGACACTGAAGACTAAAGTAATGATGCTGAAAATTCAGCTTTGATCACAGGAATAAATTACACTTTCACACAGAAGACATTTTCAGTGAAATTTCGTTTCTTGCTTGCTTTAGCCATGTTCTTGCAGGTTTCTTTTGCCAAATTGGACTAATTACCATATTTAAATTAATTTAATTGGGGGAGGAGACTGGGTGGGGCGTTGTGCTCGTGCATGTGCGCTCAATTTTATGTTAATTGGGATGTACAAAGAGAATATGCGTGGGATCCTTCGTACGCAGAGATTCATACATCTGTTTTTTTTTGTGCGTACGCACATTTACAGCTTTGTCCGTACGCAATGTTTTAGTATGAATTCAACGCAAGTCTTTGTACATGAGGCCCCTGAACTCCAAACTGAATGTCAGAATGGGAAAGAAAGGTGATTTAAGCAATTTTGAGCGTGGCATGGTTGTTGGTGCCAGACGGGCCGGTCTGAGAATTTCACAATCTGCTCAGTTACTGGGATTTTCACGCACAACCATTTCTAGGGTTTACAAAGAATGGTGTGAAAAGCAGTCCTTCCAGAGTTTTTTTGTGATTGTTGCGGGCAAAAATCCTTGATTACGCGGCCCGTTTTCTTTAAAAATGCGATGGAATATGCGGGATATTTATGCAATTTTTTGCGATGAAATTGCGGGAACTTGCAAAATTGCGGGAACTTGCAAAAATTGCGGGAACTTGCAAAAACTGCGGTTTGATGAAAAAGAGGGAAAAAAAGTGAACACCCTGTTCTCACTAGGCTGCTACCTTAATGTAAAGAGTCCTTTCTTATTACTTCCTATGATAAGCAAACATACTACATCACAGAAAGTTCTGGAAATATTTTATTTCTCATCTTGTTTTATTTCAGACTGTATCGAGTGGAAATAAGGTGTGGCCCCTTTAAGAGTTGCGCGCTCCCTGTCTAACTGTCTGCAGTATTATATTGTATGTGCCATGCGCCTCGAACACCCCATGTGTGCGGGTAATTTCTGTTTGATGCTACTTCTTTTATCTTATTTTGTTCATTAAGTAACGACGTGGACGGTAGAACGTGTGACAGACAGTTACGAGTTCGATTTGGGAATAAAGTGCGAGCAATCGCCTCCGTGAGTCTGTCTGGCCTCTGCAATAACTTCAGCTGTGAGCTATCCCTATTTTTCTTCCCGACACAACGCGTTACAAGACCTTAATAAACACATCAAACTTACAAAACATTGATGAGTCAAACAAGTTCTGTAGCTTTACTAGAGGAATATGCTACAACTTCAGTAAAAATGAATAAATGAAATATTTAAAAATAAAGTGTGCTCCTGTTTTACAGCTTTTCAATGATGTTCACGTCGCGTAATTACTTCACTTCATAACGTTCCCATGGCAACAGGGGGAAGTGGCTGCTCTTGTGTGAAGCAAACGCAACATTTTCCAACTTTCTGCTAAGATATATGTGACTTTTTGGCGACGAAAATGCGGGGATTATGAAATCATGCAAGCCCCGCATATTTTGCGCGGAAATCAGCAATTTATGCGGGCGAAATTGCAGAGTATTTGAAAAAATGCGACCCCCGCATAAATATGCGGACTTTGGCTGATTTTGCATTGAATTCAGCGATCGCATAATCGCGTTTTTCTGGAGGGACTGGAAAAGGGAAAAACATCCAGTATGCGGCAGTCCTGTGGCCGAAAATGCCTTGTTGATGCTAGAGGTCAGAGGAGAATGGGCCGACTGATTCAAGCTGATAGAAGAGCAACTTTGACTGAAATAACCACTCGTTACAACCGAGGTATGCAGCAAAGCATTTGTGAAGCCACAACACGCACAACCTTGAGGCGGATGGGCTACAACAGCAGAAGACCCCACCGGGTACCACTCATCTCCACTACAAATAGGGAAAAGAGGCTACAATTTGCAAGAGCTCACCAAAATTGGACAGTTGAAGACTGGAAAAATGTTGCCTGGTCTGATGAGTCTCGATTTCTGTTGAGACATTCAGATGGTAGAGTCAGAATTTGGCGTAAACAGAATGAGAACATGGATCCATCATGCCTTGTTACCACTGTGCAGGCTGGTGGTGGTGGTGTAATGGTGGGGGTGATGTTTTCTTGGCACACTTTAGGCCCCTTAGTGCCAATTGGGCATCCTTTAAATGCCACGGCCTACCTGAGCATTGTTTCTGACCATGTCCATCCCTTTATGGCCACCATGTACCAATCCTGATTATTATTTGATAAATTTGACTCTACCTGTAGCACAATTTTAGACGACATAGCACCTCTGAGGATAAAACACCAAAAATCCATCCCTGAGCCCTGGGTTAATAATACTACTCGAACCCTGAGACAGATATGGAGAAGGGCGGAGAGGAAATGGAAAAAAGATAAATTACAGATCTCTTATGAGATGCTAAAAGACTCTCTTTTTAAATATCAAAAAGAGTTGAAAGTGGCCAAAGCAAACTATTTTTCTATTCTCATAGATAAGAACCACAACAATCCTAGAGTTCTTTTTAATATCATTAACACTGTTACAAATCCAGCTGTGTCTATCTATCCTAATGAGTCAGTGGCCATGTGTGAGCGGTTCTGCAAGTTCTTCATAGATAAGATAGCTGGTATTAGAAATAACTTGCAGCTGACCACTGGTAATCCCGCAGGTCAGTTAAAGTATACCGGAATACTCAGTAAGTTTACACCAATTACAATGACTGTTTTAAATGACACGGTGAAGCAGTTAAAACCTACAGGGTCACCGTTAGACACTATCCCTGCACGACTAGTGAAAAAAGTGTTCAATGTAATTAGTACGACACTTCTACACTTCGTAAATAAATGCCTTGAGTTGGGAGTGGTCCCTGAGCGTTTAAAACATGCTTCTGTGCAACCCATACTAAAGAGGCCAAATCTAGACTCATCAAATCTATCGAATTTTAGACCTATTTCACATCTCCCATTTTTAAGTAAAATTTTAGATAAAATAGTTCTATGTCAGCTTGAAACGTTTTTGAATGAAAACAAAATTTATGATATATTTCAATCTGGCTTCAAAAAATTTCATTCGACAGAAACGGCCCTTGTGAAGGTGCTTAATAACATTTTTTTGGCCACTGACTCTGGCGATTCGGTAGTACTGATACTCCTGGATTTAAGTGCTGCATTTGATACGATAGACCACAATGTCCTGATTTCACGGTTAGAACATACAGTGGGCATTAGAGGCCCAGTCCTACAGTGGTTCCAGTCTTATCTTACTAACAGGAGTTTTTCAGTTAATATTAATAACTACCGATCTGCACCAGTAAAGTTAACATGTGGAATTCCTCAAGGCTCCACACTAGCTCCAATATTGTTCTCTTTATACATGCTTCCGCTGAGTACTATCTTTAGAAAATATGATTTGAACTTTCACTGCTATGCAGATGACACTCAAATGTATTTTCCTCTTAACCGCGGAATGACTTTAGAAAAGATGGCCAATTGCCTTGGGGATGTGAAAGCATGGATGTCGCTAAATTTTTTGAGTTTGAATGAGGGCAAGACTGAGGTTATAGTGTTTACACCTTCCAGTGTACATGATACAACAAACATAAATCTGGGTATCCTGACTCCATATGTTAAGCCTTTTGTTAAAAACCTGGGAGTGATACTGGACAGTGGCTTAAAGCTGGATAGACAGGTCAATCAAGTGGTGAAATCAAGCTTTTACCAGCTTCGAACCCAGGCAAAAATTAAGTCTATTCTCTCAGTCTCGAACCTAGAAAAAGTTATACATGCGTTCATCTCTACCAGGCTGGACTATTGTAACTCAATTTATATGGGGATCAGGGAGTCATCCATCAACCGCCTCCAAATACTCCAGAATGCCGCTGCAAGAGTCCTGACAGGAACTCGGAAACGAGAACACATAACTCCTGTCCTCAAGTCTTTGCACTGGTTACCAGTGCGCCATAGAATTACTTTTAAAGTTTTATTATTAGTATATAAGTCGTTAAACGGGATGGCTCCATCGTACCTCACGGACTTATTGACTGTCCATCAACCACCTAGAGCTCTTAGGTCTGCGAACCTAGGCCTTCTGGTGGCTCCGAGAACTAAACTTAAGACTAGAGGAGACAGGGCTTTCTCTAGTGCTGCTCCTAGACTCTGGAACAGCCTCTCTCCAGAAATCAGAGCTGCACCAACCCTGCTTATCTTTAAAGTGAGATTAAAGACATTTTTATTTGACCTGTCGTATGCAAACTAAAGGTTGAAGCAATTGCCCTGTGGTTGTTTTATTTTAATTTACTATTTTCTGTGTACAGCACCTTGGTCAACGGAAGTTGTGTTTATGTGTGCTTTATAAATAAATTGAAATTGAAAATTGAAATTGAAATCCTCTGATGGCTACTTCCAGCAGGATAATGCACCATGTCACAAAGCTCGAATCATTTCAAATTGGTTTCTTGAACATGAAAATGAGTTCACTGTACTAAAATGGCCCCCACAGTCACCAGATCTCAACCCAACAGAGCATCTTTGGGATGTGGTCAGGGTACGAAATGAACACCCGCCAAGCGCCAAATGCGGGTAGATTTTCCGTTTAGCGAATAAATCTCAAAAGGCTATCCGCCCCACTGGCGGGTGAATGTTCATACCAAAATAGTAATGTCACGAGTTAACGTTAACGAGTCCTCTTATCGATGCTCCTGCTCCAAAGATAATTTTTTGTCCCGCCATATTCTTATTTGATCTGTGAGTAATGTAGACGACAGTAGTGCGTGTGACAGGGCGGAACTGAAGCACGAGCAGAGAGAGAGCCCCGGTCGCGCGCGCGCACTCTTTCTCTTAGCGCTGTCTTGCTCTCTCTCCTTGTTGTCACATATAATCAAAATAAATCAACACGATGGTAAAAGGTCGGAAGACCATAGTTTCATGTGGAGCATTCGGATATATTTTTTCCTGAATTACCGCTGGGTGTGAATTGTGCTAAAATACCTTATCTTCTCTGAAGCGTTCTGCACATTCAGCTGACATAAACCACACTTTAAATAAACGAAAAAACCTATCCAGTGATTAAATGTTTTCTGTGTTGACACAAATCTTGTGGGATGTCCTAGCTGCCGGGATAATCACACAACGCGAACACATCCGATAATGACACGTCCAATTCGCGAACTAATGACTCATTTGAACCGATTCATTTTAATGAATGGTTAAAACAACTGATATTTCCAGTCCTTCAGTTACTGATCGGATCAGTCAGAGTAAATGGAGTAAAAAAAAATAGGCAGAGTAAAACTAAATATTTTTTTTGAAATAATTATAATATATTATTATTGCATATATTTTATTAAATACAATTAATACATTTAATTTGTACAGAACTATTTTCATATAGGCACCACCACAAAAATATTATTTTAATGTGTGTAAATTGTGTAATATGTGTGTAAATAAAAGTAAAAATGGAAAATAATAGACCAGAAATATGACAAAAATGTTTAAATATAGCCTATATATAAATTAATGTATGTGTGACGCAAAAAGGCTGTTTATTATTTTGGCCGGTAAAAAATATGCTTGGCTGGTGGATTTTTTTCATCTACCAGTCCCCGTGGCAGGTGAGCCAAAAAGTTAATTTCGGACCCTGGATGTGGTGGAACGGGAGCTTCGTGCCCTGGATGTGCATCCCACAAATCTCCATCAACTGCAAGATGCTATCCTATCAATATGGGCCAACATTTTTAAAGAATGCTTTCAGCACCTTGTTGAATCAATGCCACGTAGAATTAAGGCAGTTCTGAAGGCGAAAGGGGGTCAAACACAGTATTAGTATGGTGTTCCTAATAATCCTTTAGGTGAGTGTATAATATAATAAACATTATTGTAAAATAGGCCCATATGGTTTACTTTAATGCTGTGAAAATTAATATTTATATGATTATAATATAATATAATTTAATCTGATATAACCAACAAACCCTCATTTCATATGAAGGAAGACCTTTTGACTATCTTTGTGTACTTTACAACAGTGTTTTATTTATTTATATTCTTTGGTAAAAAATGTGATTGAAATTTAAACTGCAAAATTATTGTGATTATCTCAAATAATTATATAATAGTCTGAGTCTGACACAATGTGATGCAGATTTGTGTGCATGCAACGTGTATGAAATTAGTCTTTTGTGCTTGTGCTTTATATTTTCTGACGGATGTTTTCACTCTGAATGTGATGCGTTTTGTTGTTTCTTCAGGGTCTGATCTTCGTTGTGGACAGTAACGATCGCGAGCGAGCACAAGAAGCAGCAGAAGAGCTTCAGAAGATGGTGAGGAGATTAAAAACATTTCTGGGGCAGTACAACACATGAGTAACTATTAAACAGGGTTCCCGCGGGGTCTTAAAAAGCCTTAAAAGCATTGAATTTATTAATTTGTAAATAATACCTTAAAAAGACCTTGAATTTTGATGTCTGGGTCTTAAAAATTGTGCTGTATGTAACTTTTCCGTATTGTATTTTTCCTCAAAAGTTTCATTTGTCAACCACGATTATTATGATTTTCGATGTTTATTGTTCAGGGGTCTCTCAGTTCCCCATATTCCCAGCATGGAATAAGTAGCTAGATAATGTTAAAAAACAACTTAACATTGTTCGGCAAACTTTCTTGTGGCCTTCTGAAATGTTTTTATTTTTCACACCTGCTTGGCTTATCATCTTTTACCCATTCCACATTTGAAAAATAAATGAACACAAGTTCAAGGATTTTGTTTTTCTTTGCTGGTAGGGACGTGAAATGGGTATTAATACTTTTTTATATAAATGGTCTTAAAAAGACTTGAATTTAACTTGAAGAAACCTGTAGGAACCCTGTTAAAGTGCCGCTATTAGGCTTTACGAATATTACCTTTCATGCAGTGAGTAATATTGTTTTTTTGTGAATGTAAAAGTTCTACAAACTGCAAAAGTTTTAAAGATCAAACTGCACGATAAATAAAGTTCGTCTCGATTCTGAACTGCTGAAACGAGTCTTCAGCAATTCCAGACTCACTCCCTCTTTGAGAAATGAGATGATGTGCAATGTATATTATGAGAAAATGTAAATGTTTTTTGACCCCGGATGCATATGAACCTATTGTAGCAGACCTCCAAAACAAAACTAGGGAGCTTTAAAATAGCATAATTGGGGCATTTTGACAAAACGATTGCTTTATTGTGCACAGATCATCAGTAAATGTGACGTGTTTATGAGTAGTTCTGTTTCAAAATTCAACAGCTTCAGGAAGATGAACTGAGAGATGCCGTCCTGCTGGTTTTTGCTAATAAACAAGATTTACCAAATGCAATGCCCATCAGTGAGATGACGGACAAACTTGGATTGCAAGCACTCCGAAGCAGAACTGTGAGTAAGCTTGATGTGCAATATTATTATAATAGTTATGCATAATTATAAGCTCCATTTAATTTTGGTTATTATGATGTATTTACCTTTGAGCAAATACATGAATCAGATACGTGTAATATGAAGTTTCATCATTCATTTAAATGCCTAATGTATCTGTTATTAGAGTTGTCAAAAAGTACCGACTTTGAATTTTAAAAACGTGACGCTTTGAGCGGAATCGTAAACGCCTCTGATTGTAGTCGCGCGCTCATGGGATTTGTGTGTGATTTGTCACAGGTCTGTGTATGTTTTGACAACTCTGTATGGAAGTAAAATAATGCCATATGTTTTTGAAATAGGACTGGACCCGAATATTCGAATATTCGTTCGGTGGGTTGGTATTCGATTTGAAAATGTGACATTCGAATATTCGTGGGGGTTTTTTTGCACACCTGGCAACCCCCTCGAAACGGTTCTCATTCGCGCTTGAATATGTTTTACACTATAAAATCTGGTGAAATATAATACTTAACATATAACTTCGTCATAGCTACTTAATAAATATATTTGCTTGTACTTGGACTACTAAAAGTGTTCCTGCAACGGGAGTATTCTCTGGCTAGAGCGCAGAGCAGCGGAGTGTGTGTGGACAGAAGAGCATGCCTGAGCTTGTGTTTTGGGTTAAGCTGCGTTGCTTTGACATTGTGGAAAATAGAATAATAGAAACAAAATGTATTATCCTTTTTACACGTTATTATCAATCTAAAATAATCTACTGCGAAATATAGGAGACTGAGATTTTACTGGGACGTCACAATTTCGTTTTTATTTATTTAAATTTCGTTTTTATTTATTTAAATTTCGTTTTTTATTTATTTAAATTTCTTTTTGTTTATTTAAATTTCGTTTTTCTATATTTAAAGTTTGTTTTTATTGATTTAAATTTATTTTTTATTTATTTAAATTTATTTTTTATTTATTTAAATTTCGTTTTTCTATATTTAAAGTTTGTTTTTATTGATTTAAATTTATTTTTTATTTATTTAAATTTATTTTTTATTTATTTAAATTTCGTTTTTATTTTTTATTTATTTAAATTTCATTTTTTATTTAGTTAAATTTAGTTTTTCTATATTAAAATTTATATTTTATTTATTTAAATTTCGTTTTTATTTATTTAAATTTATCTTTTATTTATTTAAATTTCGTTTTTATTTATTTAAATCTACCCTACTTTGTCAGTGAGAAAAATATTATAAGACTATACCTTATTAAAAATATTGCATAAGTTAAAAGACCTGTGTGTGTGTGTGTGTGTGTTTTATATCACTAGTGCAGTGTCCGTTCTCGGAGCATATAGAGGCGCGCCGCTTCTTTATTTAAATCTACCCTACGTGTCAGTAATTTGTTAGTGAGAAAAATATTAGACTACCTTATTAAAAATATTGCTTAAGTTAACAGACCTGTGTGTGTGTTTTATATCACTAGTGCAATGTTCCTGGAGCATATAAGCTCTGCTCGCGCTTTTCTGCAGTTTATTGAAAGTTTATTAATTCTGAACGTGTCGCGTCTCGCCTGTCTATATCTATATTGCACCAAATACGACACTGCACTCCCTTGTGAAGTCGTTTGGATGAACGGTTCTCGAAATAATCAAAATGCAAACGGACAGACAGACAGATATTATGTAGAGATTCCGAAGCTTCGAATATTCGATGTTCATTACTACCGAAGCTTCGAAGCTCAAAAAATGGTATTCGGACCAGCCCTAATTTGAAACAAAAAAGCCTGTTGAATTGCACTACTTGAAAAAAATAGGCATTGCATTAACCATGCTTGGATTTTAATGCATTGTATTTTTAGGGCTTGCATTTTTTTATGGGCTGAAATTCAACATGGTTAAATATTTAAGTTGTGAATATTTCAATTCAACCAGTTATATATCTATAATTGGTAAGAATATGTTAAAATTGACCTTTTCACTCTCTCTTTATCAGTGGTATGTCCAGGCGACCTGTGCGACTCAAGGGACTGGTTTATACGAGGGATTAGACTGGCTTTCCGAGCAGCTCTCCAAACGCTAAACTGCACTTCCTGTTCAAACAGGATGTGTGCTGTTCCAAAGGACATGATTAGTGGATTGATCTGTCACAGAAGCTGTTCATGTACCATTTTCAATGGATTGTTACCAAAAATTCACCTGCTGATGTCAATCTTTGGCAGTGCATTTTAACATTTTATTTTGATTCGTTGCACCTTTGACCTTGACTGACATTTCTCCCAGATTCATTCCTCTTGATGTATGTAGCCATATATAATCTTATAGATTTGACCAAAGTATGAAAACTACTACATTTGTTAAGGAGCTCTTGCAGTAGCCCTGGATTTTTTGTTACAGTAAGTGTACTGCAGTACGCCCTAGACTTAACATCTGTACTTACACATCAAGCATTAATAATGAGATTTTTTTTTTTTAAAAGCTCTAATTTTTTCATTCCAAATACATCGTTCCCAAACGTTTGCATGCCATACATCCAAGGAAAGATTCTCAGAGAAGCATGCATTTCATAAATAAAAGATTGTTCTTATAATAGCACACTTAAGAGATTGGCAATGCATTGATTTAAGCATTAGTTTTAACGCTTTTAACATGCATAGGATTATATTAGGAACTGGTCTGACGTTGTAAATAAGCAGCCTTTTTATTATGTATGTAATCACAATTGCCTTAAATGCGCTGTGCTTTACTATGTGATCGCACTTGCCTGACCTGCTTTTGATTTACCATTTAAATTGAGAATAAACCTGTTCAGAATATTTAAGACCATAATCAACTGTTTTTATTCCCAGCTTTTGAAAATATTCAATGCTAGGAATCTTCTAGCTGTTCCCTTTTAAAATGCATAAAAACATAATGAATAAAAGTGTGAAATGCATCACTTGTATGGTTGTGTATTAACAAAGGCTCATAACCTGTCGCTTTTGAAGAAAGAAATGAACTGTCATCGTTTAATGCTTTAAAGAGTCATGAAACCAAACAATTATTTAAGTTAAGTTATTTTTCTGAACCATTTTCATTCTTCCAGTTTGAAAAGCAAAGTTTAAGCAACATCACAAAATTTAGTGAAGAATTTAAAAACAATCATTTTTAAATACCGCTTTTAATATCTCCAAGTCAATAGTCATTTGATAAATGTCACACAATAATTCATCATCATCATAAATATTAAATTGTACAAGTGAGAATGAACCTATATATGATAAATACAAAGACAATGCTGAAATGAAAATCTGATCATTTAAAAGCTCAAATTGTTTAGTTATAATATGGTCCAAGTAAACAAATGCATTTGATGATTGATGTGCATGGACACATTTGAAGCAAATGTTAGTCAGTTGTTCTCCACTTGAGGTCACACACCTGCGCGATGTGATCAGACGGGTGCGAGACGCTCGGCAGGGCCAGAGAGGTCGTGACCTCCTCGTGACTAGGCAGAGGAATGACCTGCTCCACCTGTAGCACATGCGGCTCCACAAATATATAGTCCAGACACCCCTGGAAGCCGCCGACGTAGTTGGTGTAGGCCGGGACCCCACAAGCGCTGGCCAGCTGGAACGGGTTAGTGAGTCCCGCCTGGATCTGCTCTTCTGGGCCATTGGAGGCCCAGTCGTCATGATTCTCCGAGACGGATCCCTGACAGACGAGCTGGAAGAGGCCGGAGGAGGGCGTGCTGTTGAAATCCCCCGCGAATATAAGCCTGGCTCCGGGATGCTTCTCCGTCACCACCTGCTTCATGTGCTTCAGGGCCACAGCCATCTGGACCAGTCGAATGTTTCCTCCTGGAAACACAATCGAACGTCATTCCCTTCACGTTCACGGTCACCGTGATTTTGCCAAGTAATGTAAATGTAGTCCTTACCCAATCCCTACCCCTAAACCTAACCCTACCCTTAACTTTTCCCTAAAATCAGAGGGTAATGATAGGTGAATAACACTGATGTTTAAGTACTTCACCCTGGTTCTAAGCCTAAACTTGACATAAACTGTAAACTTGTCCCTCAAATCTGATTGGTTGATTGGAACAAATAAATAAACAAAGATGTTGATCCAGGAACATGTGGAACTTGGTGAAATCATGTTCACCTTCCATTCACATTGAAGCTCACCTTTAATATTATCAAGGGGCAGCATGTTTATACAAAATACAGGGTTCCCACGGGTCCTTGAAAGTTTGCGAATCTGAATTAAAAAAAATAAAAATCAAGGCCCTGGAGAGTTTTTGACAATAAACATACATGGATACAGGTCCTTGAAAGTGCTTTAATTTATTTTGTGCAAGGAGTTTTCTGGAAAAAATTCCATATTATTTGTATTTTATACAAATATTTATATTATTTAAATTATATTATAAATATTTAAATTAATATTTTGCCAACACTTCATGGCCTATCATGCATACTAGCTTGCTTGATTTACGCGTTACGTTTAGTGTTTCCCGCGTGAGGTACTTTGTGTCGTACGTTTGCCATGACGTTCACGTGCGCACAAAACTACTATGATGGAACCTCAACGTTTGTTGTCGGACACAACAAATGTGTCCCAACATTAAGTCCTTGAATTTGAGGGTATTGGACCTGGAAAGTCCTTGAATTTCAAGTTAACCGAGGTGTGGGAACCCTGAAAATAGCAGAGGGCCTAAAACAGACCCTTGTGGCACTCCATAATTTACTGATGTTAACATGGATCATTCCCTGTCTAAATAAAACAATATGGTTAAACTGAATTGAATTAAAATCAAGTCATTCCATTCACATTGATGCTTACCTTTAGGATGCCAGTACAGGTGTGTGTTTCCGACACACAATATCCTTGATGGGTCGCATAACGACTGCAGAATGGTCACCTGAGAAATTGGGCAAGCGATGCATTTTTGTTGGTTTTGCATAGATACAATTTGAAGCAAGACAAAACAAGGATTAAAATAAGCTAAAAATGAAGAAAAGAATCAAAATAAAGAAATACTTTTGGGTGAAAAAATTAGAGAGAAAAAATAAATAAATAAAATTAACATTGAAACAAATTAAATTAGATTAAAATAAATAAAACTAAGAGAAATGCCATCACATAAATAAATAATACTTGAAATGTTACTAAAATAGAAAAATAGTTAATTTACATTTTAATAAAGGTTTTACTGATTTTTTTATTAAATAAATGCAATCTTAAGGGTAAAAGCTTTTTTTTATGACTATTAGTGTATATAAAAAAAAATGTTAAATATAAATGAGATATATATACACATAAAATAAATGTACTTTTGTTTCTTCTTCATTAAACCAAGCTTAAGCTAAATAATAAAAAATAATAAATCCTTAACCCCGATCCAGTAAATCCCAAACAACTGGAAAAGTCTTGGAGCCCTTTTGGACAATGGGAGTCAAATCATTGATTTAAGGTCTTTAATCTGTTGCAGTGAAATACCTGCAACACTGTTGACCTGGTTTCGATCTTCTCTTTCAAGCTGGGATTGGTGGACACTTTCTCCAACAGTTCCCGATGAAGAGGATCAGCCGTCAAGGCCTCTCTCAGCACGACATCAAACTGCTCCAGCAACTTCAACTTTGACCTTCTAAAATACGTCGCCAGACCTTCGTACTGTCTTTCCTTGATTTTGAAAACCCCTTCCAACCCAAAAGCATCCAACGCAGGAGATAAACTATCTAAAAAAGCACACTTATCCACCTCCTGGAGGCAAATTATATCAGCGTTGTACCCTGACAGCTCCTTCTTGATCAGATTCTGCCTGTAGTCCATTTCTAGGGCGTATGGTGCACAGTAAGGGTACAACACCGTTTTGGAAAGCTCAGTCTGAGCGTAGACGTCAGCAAGGATGTTATAAGACACAACCCTCAGTGAAGAATCATCGGTGAGCTTCTGAGTGTAAATGTGCCTGTTGTCAAAGGTACACGTTCCTGGACCGGCTTCAACTGCACCTGAAGACACCAGTTCCTTGGGTCCCCCAAACTTGGATCCATTCCCTGGTGTGCATTTCAACATCACCCTTAAACCAATGTCTAGATTAGATGGCGTAAACACACGTTCATGTCCTGCCTCCCTCCAGCAGTCTGGATCTCCTCTCATTTGGGCATTCGGTGAGCTTTCCTTGAGCCATATGAACTTACAGTCCTTGAGATCTCCAAACTCTATCTCCAGCTTGGGAAAAACTGGAAACCCGGACATTAGAGACGATGGCAGCTCGGATACAGTGAATGTTGGAGGGTTGCGTTCCACTTTGTACTTCAAATCCCCCACATGAAGCACAGCCCCATCCAGCCACGCATCAGAGTTCACAGTCTCCACGGACACGTGATCTCCATTTACACACAGACTGATTTGGGGTTTATCCACTTCCGGAGTCTCACTTTTCCCTTTGTTTTGCTTTAATCTTCTCGCTTTGCTTCGTGTTTTGATGATGCCGGACGCTATTCGAGACAGAACTTTCCCTAACGGTTCTGTTTGCTCGCGCAGCATCTGTTTATTACTGCCGTCGAGATTAAACGAGATGGTCAGTTTGGACTCACACGGCAAACATCTAACTACGCATCTCTCCATATTCATATCAAACCGGGCGGTAAAGAGATTTCTATGGGTTGGGATTGAAAAGTGGGGAATATAACGGAAAAGTAATAATTTACTTGCAAATGACACGCGACTCAACATGAGGACCTTGCGAGAAACTACCGGTGGCTTCCGTGATCGAAAACCTTCCTGATTATTCATAACACTAGATTCGACACGTTTTAAGGCGAATTGGGTGAAATTAAATGTTCTCTTTAATCCCACTGCAATTAAATCCTTTATTATATTAATAAACTATATCGCGATTAACGTGCTGTGTCCTCGAAAACGATTAGTAACGAAACCCCTGATCTCAATATTATAATAGTATCCTTATCATTCGGAGAACTAGATTCGTTATATTTATTTCTGTTTTAAATTATTTTTTGTAGATGTTGTTTTACTTTCCTTTGAATTAATACTTTATTATATTAGAATATTACTACACCATTTGCGTGGTATCCTCTAAACCAGGAGTTTTCGAGCCGTTTCTGTGGAAGTGCGTGGAAGTTTAGAGGAAAAAAACGGTGTAAAAACAAACAAACGAATGAATAAATATAAAAAGATTAAAATAAGGGAATACAAATTAGAGTAAAAAAGCAATAACAACATCCAACAGTTAAGTATGCTACTATAATACGTAGAAAAACACATACAAAACATGAATATAATCATATTTATAATAATTGGCATAGTATAAATTGGCTATTTATACAATACACTATATATAGATGTCCTTTAAATGCTATGATCTAAGATCCCCTCTATAAGCTAGAATTGATACGAAATCGTGAATTTTAAAGGGATAGGTCACCCAAAAATGAAATTTCTGTCATTAGCTATTTACTTACCCTCAAGCTTTTCTAAACATGCATGAAGTTCTTTCTTGTGTTGAACATAAAGGAAGATATTTTGAAGAATTTTGGTAACCAAACAGTTTCTGGTCCCCGTTGACTTGTATAATACAGAAAAAAAATACTATGGAAGTCAATGGGGACCAAAAACTGTTTGGTTACCAACATTCTTAAAAAATATCTTCTTTTGTGTTTAGCAGAAGAAAGAGCCTCATACAGGTTTATATAACAACCTGAGGGTGAGTAAATGATGACAAAATGTTCATTTTTGGGTGAACTAACTGTACCTTTAAGCTCAAACACGAGTGTTTTATACTGCCACTAGATGGCGCTATTAGCAAACGCTTCATTCTTTTAGAGCTCATAGATTGTTTGTAGAAATAACATTTCATTGTTAATAAATCACTGCTACATACTGGATTTGATATAATCTCAGTCAACTCATTTCCAAACTCCTGTATATTATGGTACCATTCAAACATTGTCTATTACAGCTCAAAACAAAATCATTTTGAAACGCAACTGTGCTGCTGGTTTTATTGAACTCAATTGAGAGGACAATAATAATCAAATATTAATACATCATAGCCCATTTCACATCTCCAATTTATCTGCATAAATGTCTGCTGAACAAAGTTAAGCTATTATTATGTTCCCTAATACATGTGTACATGAAAAAAAAACACATATTTTCCCTTATTTAGCACATTATGATTATTAGCAATATACAGTACATGGTACAATGCAAACCATCTGATTATTCTGGTTGTGAAATGTCTCTAGCCACTGGCATGCAGCATGTTCACTACACAACAGACGTCATGTTGCTTCCATTGTTTTGCTTCAATAGTTGATTAAAAATCCAAGTTATA